CAAGCAGGTGCAGGCCAACCCCTAGGTGTAGCTGGCTTACAAGAGTCTGAACCTGATGCTAAAAACCATATGAATTGGTCAGGCTCCTAACTTGAGTCCACACCTACAAGCCCAGACATATACACTTGGGCAGCTTAAAATCAAATATGATCTACTGTATGGTTTGGACTGGGCCGGCCAGTTCTGGTTTGAGGTCTGCAGGATAGGTTCTAGTTTGTGTCCCAATCTCTGCTATGGATTGGGCTAATCGACCTCCTGATTTAATATAATATCTGGACTGGGGTCTGACCGGGTCAGACTTCCTGCAGTGCAGCTGCAAGCAGGTGCACACAAGGGCTGGAAGACTACTGCAGTTTATCCACAGCTACCGCTCCCTTTCTCCTTGGGGCCTTAGACCACTCCTCCGATCATATACCTCACACATCTCCAACAAATAACAATCATTAATTAAAAGAAAATCAATTTTAATCCCAAATTTCCCCTTACATGTTTACTCTTTGCGGAGATTACCCGAAGTTACTGCTAACAGAATATTTACACATGAAACTCAGCCACACCAGATGTGATATGGTGTCAGCTACTAAAGAATACCAAAAGTCTGATGGAAATGTGAATCAATACGTCAAGAACTTTCTGAATAATTTAGTACTTGCAATTCTCAAAAAGAAAAAGTTGTCAAGAATACTTGTCTTGAAGTGAGTAATAATCTGCTATCTGATATTCGTATGTAGAACTATTCAATACAGACTACAAAGTTTCACACAATAGAGAGAAGCCCGAACAACAAATATTAATATGAAAGCTGCTCTAAAATTGATGCGAAACAATATTGAATTTGTTGATAGTAAATCAATTGAAAAAACCATGTTAATTTACCTCAGCAACATTATGCCCATGACGCCTTTTATCAACAATGGCTAAAGGTGCATCAGATAACTTTTTTGCAAAGGCACGTGCTCTGGCAACACCTCCAACGTCTGGTGAGACCACTACCAGGTCATTTGAACAAATGGTCTTGCTGGCCAGGTAATCAAGTATCACAGGCTAGACATGTTAAAACAAACAAAACATACACAATCAGCTAGGAGAAACATGCTAACCAAGCCAATGCATAAGGAAAAAAAATAGCATATGAACTAAGTTTAAATAAAAAACCAAGATAAATATTATTTTGAAATTGAACATGGTAAAGATGAACTACCTGACCATATACATGATCAACTGGAATATCGAAGTATCCCATGGACTGTCCTGAATGCAGATCACATGCGATCACACGGTTCGCACCTGCTTCTGTGATTAAGTTAGCAACAAGCTTGGCGGCAATAGATTCACGTCCTTGAGTCTGAGAAAACAATTAAATCAAAAGGATAAAAGGATTTCTACAGAAATCAACTAAGCATATGCTGAAATAAAATAATTACATGGGACAATTATATTTCTCTTATTGAAAACTGGTCTTACCTTTCTGTCTGCCCTAGCATAACCAAAATAAGGTATAACTGCAGTAATGTTTTTGGCAGAAGCTCTGCGACAGGCATCAATCATTACCAAAAGTTCCATAAGATTTTCATTTGCTGGAGGACAGGTTGGTTGCACTAGATAAACATCACACCCTCTAACACTCTCTTGTAACTGAACATAAATTTCACCATCTGCAAATCGCTTTATCTTTATCTTCCCAAGTTCCAGGCCCAAGTAGCTAGCAATTTCCTAAAAAGAAAAGAAAGCATTATCATCAACTTCTAGAAATAAAACAGAAATGGATAGAAATGAGTCAAGAAACAAGTTCCAAAATAACCAAATCCATACATAAGAAACCCATGGAATATCTTCGACACAAATTGCAGCAATATTTTAAGAGAACAAGAATAGAAATTTAAAAGATCATCTTTACCACCTAATGTTCTGATTAAGCTAAACTTTCTGTTAACTAAGCAAAAAGAAGAAAAAAAAATTAAGGAGGCCACAACAGCAGCTGCTGTAATGTTAAGATATATCACATGCAATTCATGATATCTGATAACGAACAACTTAATACTTCCATTGACTCTCATTTAGAATAGCAGTCGGCCAACTAATTATCACCCAAGATTAATCAATTCCGGTTTAAAGGGCTATGAGAAGACTAATCTTGTTCCTAGTCAGACCTTAATCATACTCTGGCCAACAACCATAGAGGTCATGACTTGACATAACACATATAGACTCAAGTGATTAGGTGAGGTCTAAACACATTCAAATGCTAAGAGTAACATTGAGAAAACTCAAAGCTATGAACACCTTTGACACCAAGAGTAGCCTAACCATCAACAAACCTCAAATTTTGAGTTTTAGCAGAATCACAAGCATCATTTTCACTTACATCTGAACATGGTAAAGTATCAAAAGCAAAGCAAAGTCTTCAAAATAAAAGTAATCTCTCTCTAGATTTTTCAGTGGGCATTGTAGCAACATGATTTCTTATATAACTTCAGAGAGTGTCTAATAATGCAATAAGGTTTGGATAACCAAATCCAATATTGTGGGAACTGCATCACCAAATGCAACTTCAGTTTATATCAATGGATGACTAAAAGTTTATTCCATATTTCATGGCATTGTTAAATTCCGGTATGATCTAACCTACAAATAACAGTACATATAACACCAGTCCAATTTTTGCAGACAGTTTGAATTAACTAAACTCGATCAGAAAGCAGAATTGACTGATTTTTGGTCAATTGTATGTGATCCGGGATGCAATAGAAAATGTTAGAATAATGATACATGACAGCATACCAGCATTAAAACCATAATAAAGAGTCGAAATAATCTGAAACTTTCAGAAGGGCCTGGAAAAGACCTTTTTTTAGTGGCTCCAGTCCTGTCAGACAATTTAGAGCTCCTCCAAACTTGATTAACTCAATTAAATCAAACAAATTAGTACTCAATTCACCTGAGCAAGTGAGGGATTGGCCGTGCCTGAAAAAATACGCAGTCTTGTATCATACTTTGAGCTAATGCCTTGCATGATCGGCATCGTTACAGCACTTGGCATCGTCCGATCATAGAGGAATTGCAAGCCTGGAGGATTGCCATTGTTGGACCTCAATGGCTCAACCAATTTGCACTTCTGCTTACAAAACCCAAGTTCAATGATATAGACTCAAGTTTAATATTATAGACAGAATCTTCTATACATCATCAAACCTATTCAATATCCATGAAGAAAAACTAAAATCAAATAAATATAAACAAATCCTCATTGAAGCAGGTAAAGAGGATTACATTATTTGATTTTACACTAGTAATCAAAGTGGCATCGACCTAATAGAAGTGCATCTGATGTCATATTTGCCGGCACGACGAAAACATTAAACAATTCTATACTTGTTAGATGCGATTTAGTGTCGGATCGCAGGTATCCCAACATCAAAACTACGTCTGACTATAAAACTAAGCGATAAGTCGTAAGATCCCAGCTATTCAGGGTGGCCAGACAAAGAAAAAAACCCCCGAGTGACATCTTGAAGCACTAACCACAGACGGAACAGAGAGAGAAAGGCCATTCTGGGAGCGGCGGGGGTGCGTCCAAGTCGCAACCCCATAGGAACGGCCAGATGATAGATCGGCGGCGGCGGCGGCAGATAACGCCATGGAAGCCATCACCAACACGGGGCTCGGGGATCGGAGCGAGCTTTTTCTAGGGTTTTACCTTCGCGAGGGAGCCGATGAAAACCTCGCACTTGACGGCAGGCGGCGCGGCCTCGAGCAGTCCGTGCGGTTGGTGGGGATATTTTGTGACGCCATCCAAGCGAATCGGGCGAAACAGATAACGGGTTTGAGAACCGGACCAGATCACGGATCCGAAAAGATGGACCCATTAGATCGCTGATCGGTCATTGTATCGAATATGCCATGAGCCCATCACCCGAAGCCACGCATGTGAGTCCTTACCTGCTTCAGAACCGTGGCGCACCCCACTTTAACCCCGCATCTGGCGTTGTCTATATTTATTTTTGGCAAAATTATTTATACCTTAAACAATAAATTATTTATTTATTTTTATAAAATTCAACCACTTAAATATAAATAATTATGATGGTGTCTAATCATCATGTGACCTGTTGGTGAAATGATGCATCGTGGTCGAGGAGTCAGTATGGCTTGGTTGACTGGTCAATGTCTAGAGTTCTCGGTCGGTCGAAAGAAGTGTTGGAGCTGGCTGGGTCGATGGTCGGGCTGTCGACTTCATCTTTTGCAAAAGCATCTCTAGTTGGTCGACAGAAGTGTTGAGGCCGACTGTATCAGGAGGTCGAGACAATGACGTCGTCTTCTGGCGAGGTATCTCTCAGTCGGGATGATCGCGCCTCCGAGTGTGGCCGAGCTCCTGCACAAAGGCCCTCATCGGGGGGTTCCTAACTGTGGCCCCTCGTATATTAAGTTAGTAGCCGTATTTTTCTCTTCTCCCCCCCCCCCCCTTTAGTCAGATGTCAATTATGGCCTTTTATACTATTGTGCAAGGATCGGTTGTATGCGAATTTGGTGTGACGCCCAATCCCCCGAGTGGCGAGATGGTATCGTTGTGCGGTCGCCGCCCAGTATGCATAGAATGATGTCGTAAGGTGCCATCCCAAGCTTTACTAGACGAGACTTGCTGACAGGGTGCCTCCCTATACGAGTCTTGGCTCGGCGTGGGGTAGTACCCCTTATGCTAACTTTGCAGGGGTATAATACGGAACAAGTTGTGACGTGGTTGGAATCTAGAATATGTCTTAGACCGTCCGTTGAAACCATAAATGATATCGACATCTTTAAAACTCATTATGATTTCGAGAATATAACAGATGCTTTAAATAATCAAATATCTAATGGTTTAATTTTTTTTTATTTTGATATTTGAAGCAATGTATATATTGTATCAACATGTATAAGCGGAAATATGATTATTTATAAACTTTGAGACAATGCACACATTATTTATTTATCAGAAGCGAGTATGAGCGAGAATATAGTACCAAATGGATTATTTCTAAACATGCAGCCTCAAGAGACGTCAAACAAACTGTATTTTGCTCAGCTCATCTCAAATATTTTTTCCATATAAATTAAGAAATATATTAGATAAAAATAATTAAAAATAATTTATTATTATAAATATTGATCATTAGATATGTCAATGATGACAGTAAAATTATATCGAGGGATTTATCATAAATAAAAATATTTTTTTTATTATATTATAGAATGAAGATAAGTGGATTCATCGTCATCCGATCAGTATATAAACCTAATATTAAGTGGAACGATTCAAATCATATTAAATTGAGTCGACTTATCAAATAAAATAATATCAGTAATTTGAATATTCTTATGATGCATAATTTTTATAAATGCTATTAATTTTATTTTATTTAATATTTTTAATTAACTTTTGATAAGTTTATTTTTAAATAATAATCAAAAGAATATAAATAATTCATGAGCTCCTAATAGGGGTTTCTCATCTAAATAGAAAATAGACACGTATATTGACCATTATTGTCGAAGAGAGCAACTATTATAAATTTGGATGATTTTATACTGTTAAGAGTATTTATCATAAATTAAATCCATCATAATGATGACTCAATGATTCATACGATGAATATGCTCAATCATTCATATGCATTAAATTTAGCAAAATCTTTAGTGTATGCGTTATTTTTTTTTATAGTTTTACAATGCGTCGTACATGCTGATTGATCAACTCGATTAAGTTCAATTCAATAGGCTCTGACCACATTGGAATAAATACTATTCACTTAACCACTCTAAATCAGAGTTCTAATTTGGTTGAACCAAATAATTGGTCGAGTCAGATAAATCAAAAGTAGATGATAGTTTAGATCTAATTTTAAGACTCGAGTCGCCGCCGAGCCCAACTCGATCAAATCGAACCAGATTCCTGTATTCGGAATTGGCTTCAGATTTCGACGAATAATTTCTTCGTAAACTTACCCGTAACATAACTCGCGGTGTAGGTCTGCGTCACGGCTGGCTCTCTAGTTCAACCCATTCATTCTCGAAACGACCGAAGGGTCGATGTGGTCTCTGGCACGCCTATTGCGTGAGGCACTGCGGCCGGCCACGTCAACCTCGCGCGGTTTCGCGGGTGGTTCAGTCTAACTGCGAAGGACTTCCCCGTTGTTGGCGAAACAAGCCACCGCAATCCCCGAGCCGACTCCCTGACACGTCACGTTCCGCCTCGTCAAGTCGAGACACAAACGACACTTCCAACTCGACCTCTTCCATTCGGACAAGACGCGAGTGGGACGAGACATCGATCACATCGGCATTAAATGCTTGCATAATATAAAATGTAATTTGTAGTCAAATTGATCGGCGATTCACGAACAAATCCTCAAATTATTAGCACAAAATGTTGGCATCAAATCATTTCCTCACTGAATTTGTCTTGCAGACAGATGCATATGCGAGCAAAATTATTATGCCTTCTTACAGCTAATATTAAGTCATTAGAAATACTAACAATATTATTATTATTTAGTTCGGTCTCTGACTTACTGGAACCCGAGTGACGCGACCCACTTATTCCTCCATCTTTTGTTAGCTGTCAGACTTACGTGGAATGCTGGACCCCAGATTGCTTCCAATGAGCTCGCTGGTATGGCACGTTAGGTTGCCTTGTTCAGTTATTTACAAAGATGAAGCTACCAGAGCATGCTTTGGAGACGAACAAGTACTTTTATTGTTCCTCCACTTCCAGGCGTGGCCCGAAAAGTATGCGTCCAATCGAATGACTGGTAGAAAAGAGGGGACGATCGAAGTGTTGCTTCTGTAGTTTTTGGCCTGCGCCACCTGGACTCCAGGCACGTCGCAAGTTTGAATCGGAGTTCGGACGCGTCTTGCACAAGCAATTCTTATGGACAAACAAATCTACTAGTGATTCGCACGCGCTGTCTAAACGGAGCGCTTCATCCCTGGCGAAGCCTTTTCTACTCATTTTTCGACCTACTCGGGTTTCTTACTGCCCGCTGAATGGCATCTTACCTCACTTGGGACCCATATTCGGTCGTGGTGTGTGTGGTCGGGTAGACAAAGGTGGTAGGAAAAACTTTTCTACTTTAAAATTTTTTCCTCCACTTCGTGCCACATCATCACGTAGAAAGACCACGTATTATATTGATACGGAAAACCCCATACACGCACACCCAAACGGCATCAGCTTCATCCCACTCTCCACTGCTCTGTTCTTCCCTCCCTCTTCTTCCACGACTCTCTCTCTCTCTCTCTCTCTGCTCTTCGCCTTCCGCCGGACCCAAGTCGAATGGGATTCTAGGGTTTCGCCTTCCGCGAGATGGGCTGCTTCCACTCCAAGACAACTAACCTCCACTCCCCCGAAGACGATCCCGACCACGCCGACAAGCCAGATCACGGTACCATCGATGGCCATTCGTTTCCATCTCTCCCCCTTTCTTCCGTTTTCGCCCCATATTTGGTGGATATGTTTTGTTCTTATTTCGGGTGATAGAAACGAATGGGGAGGCGGGGGACCAGGATCAGGTGCCGGCCTTCAAGGAATACGGTCTGGCGGAGCTGAGGGCGGCGACGAAGGGCTTCAGCCCGGACCTGATTGTTTCCGAGAGCGGCGAGAAGGCGCCCAATGTCGTGTACCGGGGAAAGCTTGATGGAGGACGGCTGGTGGCTGTCAAGAGGTTCTCTAAGCAGTCGTGGCCCGACGCCCAGCAGTTTGTGGTCGGATCTTGGTCCCTTTGTTTTAGCTGTAATGTTAGATTTATGGTTATTGCAGAAAGATTGTTTTGAATGAGTATTTCTTTGAGATCTTCTTGCAGGCGGAAGCTGCGGGGGTGGGAAAGGTGCGGCATAAGAGGCTGGTGAACCTCATCGGATGCTGTGCGGAGGATGACGAGAGACTTCTCGTCGCAGAGTTCATGCCCAATGACACATTGTCTAAGCATCTTTTCCATTGTACGCTTCTGTACAAGACTTGATGTGTTGCATGGCCTTTCCGTTTACAAATTATACTTTGGAATCCTTAAATTTTCCTTCGCTTTTCCTTCCCTTATACAATCTTCATTTATTTAAAGTCAGTAGATGTTGATATAGCTCTAGCCAATTAAAGAAGAGGTAGGACGACAAGATGTCAACAATCCTGTGAAATTGGAAAAGTGTTTTTTAAGTTATTATTGTTTTGTTTGGGAAAGATCTATTGACAATCAATGGAAAAGTTTAGTATGAACAAGAGAGGGGGATCTAGCCATAAATTCTACAAAAGAAAAGAAAGTTAACATTTATTGAAAGGACCTAGCAGAAGATATAAAGCTTTAATGAATGTAATATGCACCAAAGTGGTGACAGACTCCTGCCAAACTTACACAACTTGGATAATATCAGCTAAGGAACTTTCGACTTTGAATAATTGGACAAAAGAGAAGTGGATTCTCTTGTTTGGATGCAGCAAATAGGAGACAACCGGAGAGAAGTAGAGAGAAATAGGGAGAATCTGATTCTCTTTGAGGTACCTTTTACTTCTCTTCTGAATTGGAGAGGATGGGAGAGTAAGGGCCCTAAATATAGTTAGCTCTTTACCGTAATGTGATAGGAAAGAAAGAAATATGAAAGACTAAAATAATCAAGACCAAAATTGGCTAGTACTTATTGCAACTTCTCTTGGTTTTCAGAAATAAGAGAAAAAAAAAGTGTTTCCCTTCTTTTCTCTCCTTGCATCCAGACATAGGAAGAGCGGCTTACTTTCTCTACTCTTTTTTGGTCCGTTTTTCATGCCTTCCTCTTCTCTTCTCTCCAGAAGCTATTATCCAAACAGATCTGAGTCTTTATATTTTAGCACTTTCTTCTGGTGCATTAGCACTACCCAAAGTTAGGCTTTCTGGTCCCCATAACTTATTCTGAAGCATGGAGTACCAAAGTATTTTTTTCATGCTTGTCATATAAAAAAATGGATAGACACGTTAGCACTTACCTAATTTGACTAGCATGATATCTGAAATGGAGATCAGCAGTCGAAGATAATCCACCAATATAATTTTGCTAACTGAAAATTTTCAACCAATTGCAGCATATGTTTATGCTTTTAGCCTGCAGAAGCTTCATGATACACTTTGATGAGAAACTTAACTTTTTATCTGATATGTGGATCCATGTTTTATTATGCTTGAAATTTCATTGCATTCTATGCTTGAGACTTCTATTATAGTGGCTGTGCCACCTGTTTCCTTGATAGCTATAGTGATATGTGCAATTTAGTATGTTAATTTCTTGTAAGAGCAACCTTTCGAATTGTAACAGGAACCACATTCCCTAACTGGTTCTCATTGTGGTTGTACTATTTGAGATCTCAACTGGAAACATATGTGAATGCTGAAGTGACTCATTTGCTAAAGTATGAATGTTTGGTTTACTATGTGATTTTCCATTTTGTTAGGGGATAAGCAGCCTCTACCATGGGCAATGCGAGTTAGGGTGGCATACTACATTGCACAAGCACTTGATCATTATAATACTGAAAACCGGAGAATATATCATGATCTGAATTCTTATAGAGTTCTTTTTGATGAGGTATGAAATTTAAATGTGATTTGGGACAATTTTCTTTGCTTTTTAAATATGTAATTTGGTGCTGTGAGCTGCATTATAACGAAATTATTACCTTTGAAAATTTAATCCTGCTATAGTTAAGGTGTTGTCATTATAAAGGTCCTTTGACATACCCAAAACTTTGTGAGCATATCATATATTATATTTTGCATTATGCTGGTCACTAACAAAGAGTAAAAAGATGATTTTACATTTTTATACTTTTCCACTTGTCAAATAAAGGCTTTTCCTATTGAGTAATTCTTCAATGAGTTATAAGGTACTCTTCCATGTATCATGCAGGTTGTTGTGATAATATCTAAAGATTTTATAGATTGCTATCCACTGGACTAGAATTCATAAAATTTTATGCATTTTGGACTGAAAAATACTGATATTGAATTTGATATATTCTGGATATATATGTGAAATGGATTTCTAACTTAAATGCTCTATGAGATATTTAATGTATAACGTCTCGTGGAATTTAATTTTTAAAGTTTTTCTAAAGCCATATTGCCTAGGATTGAGGAAAATGATTTTCACAATGTAAAACTATGTCTCGGGTGTTTCTGGAAGACATTATTTAGTTATTCTTTACACTTATTAACTTCTGCAAATTTTGTATATTTTGTCTTTGTTTTTGCCAGGATGGAGATCCTCGTTTGTCTAGTTTTGGTCTCATGAAAAATAGCCGAGATGGGAAAAGTTATAGCACTAACCTAGCTTACACTCCACCAGAATTCTTGCGAACTGGTAACTCAATTACCTTCAATACTCTTGATTCTTGCAATTTGCTAAATTATCATTACTGATGCACTTGTTAAATTTCTCCACAACTGGGTCCCACTTATACAGGTAGAAAATTTAGGTATATTATTATGCTGTACTTGTGAAATCACTGAATTAGTATTGAATCAAATGTATTCCCCTTAGTCCTATTTGACCCTTTTTGGCAAATGATTTGTTTTGTAACAATGTCTTTGTCACTGGCGCATAGGCAAAAGGAAGCGGATCCTGTCTCTGCCTTATAATGGTGCTTGATCCTTCCATTCACATCCTTCTCTGCCTTTTTGTTTCAATTCAACGTTGCTGCAAGTAAACTGTAGTGTGGCCTATATTGAAAGAAACTTGATTTAAAGGCTTATCTAACTAAATTTTCCTAGACATTCATTAATGTTGCTGTTATTATTACTGAATTTGGCATTTCTGGAACAAGATAAAGTATCCGGATAATATAAGTGATCCTTCAGGATTCTTACTTTGGTGAGGTTCATCAGCTAATGTTTGGCTTCTAAGTGTACTTCATATCCATACTTCCAAGTTTATGATATTGTTACTCTTATTAATTTGTTGTAGCATAACTTAACCTGGATTTATGTAATTGTGCAGGAAGGGTAATTCCAGAGAGTGTAATCTACAGTTATGGAACTGTACTTTTAGATCTTTTGAGTGGGAAGCATATCCCCCCAAGTCATGTATGTCCAGGTTATCAAAGTAGGCAATTCTCGTCATGTTAGGAATGTTTATCATATTATGTTCATAATCTCAACCCTTTTATTTGGTCATTTAAATAATTAAGAAATGAACTTAGGACAAACTAAAGTGCTTCATTTTTCTAGCTGGAGCATGGAATATATGTATGTATATTTGAGATAGCCTTATGTTCATCATGTTGAGCTTGCCTTTGCTCGTTTTTCTCTCTCTTTCATTTTAACTCAACCTTTTTAAATATGGATTGAATCACCATCTTGAAATCATTACTTATCTGGAGATTGAAATAACTGCTACTATATTTTGATTGCGTTATCTTAGTAGTCGTCAATTGTTGGCTCCAACGTCATTTGATCCTTTCTTGTATACATTTATGGTTGACATGTGGTGTAGTGTGGCAGGTGGTTTAGAAGCTGATATGATTTTACCACTCTGTGACTTTTCACATTTTGGCTGAGGAAGAGTTCTCATTAAGTTTGAACTTTGTTTATTTTTTAGAAATTTGTGTACTTCTTTATATTCAACAGCTGAAGAACAATCAGAACATCACTAAATGTTCAGGTCCAGCTATATGGCTCTTTTCTTGCCATTGAACTCCATGTAAGGCGATATCCCTAATTAAATGAGCAATAAAATCTTTTATAGTTTTTAATAAAGTTCTCTAAGGTCTCTGGCTACCTTTCATTGCACCAAATGATTCACTTTATTTAACCATGGTATCTACATCTCCGTCAAACATATCCATGCCATCTTAAATAAATTTTCATTATTTATTCTCTCTATCATGGTTGCACCTTATCATTAGCTAATGAAAACATTTTTCATTCTACCTTTTCTAAATTACCACATGCACATGAACATTCTTACCTCAGTGCTACAGTTAACATTTTGAACATGTTGTCTCGTGAATTTTATATATATAGTTGCTTTGTCTGATCTGCTCACTTGTCTATAAGTTCATTATTTATTGATTGTTTTTGTTCTCTCTTTTCAGGCACTAGACCTAATAAGAGGAAAGAACATGTTAATGATTATGGATTCTTCCCTGGAGGGGCAATATGCTAATGATGATGCTACTAATTTCGTTGAACTAGCTTCAAAATGTCTACAGTTTGAGGCTAGAGATCGACCCAACTCTAAATTTCTTCTTTCTGCCCTAGCACCACTTCAAACTCAGAAAGAGGTGAACTTACAATAACTTTTATCTACTAGTTATGCCTCAGCATTCTAATTTTATGTTTTTTCGAATTCTTGCGCAGCTTTAACTTCATAATCATTGATGATGCAGATTCCATCACATGCTCTCATGGGTATAACAAAGACAGAACAGGTGCTGCCGGTGATGCTCTCACCACTTGGAAAGGCTTGTGCAAGGATGGATCTAACAGCTGTGCATGATATATTGCTTAAGACAGGTTATAAAGATGAAGAAGGTGCAGAAAATGAGGTAAGGTTTCAGAAACAATTTAAAAAGATTCTATATCTTGACATTTGACATTGATGGAACAAGGATTGTGGTGGATCTGGTGATCATATCATGTGCTGGTTGTGCAAAACCAAGATATTTTTTGGGAAAAATCTTTACGTTTAATGAGAATTAAGATCTTAACTTATCCCGAAAGAATTATCAATTGGTTGGAATTCTTCTTTTATGTGCACACTTCACATGATTAAACAATATGAGTATATTATGTTATGTTTTTTAGAATCCCTCAGTAAAACACTTGTCACTCTCATTTGTTCAGTAAGTTGCATGCTTCATGTATGTTGCCATGGTGAAGCCTTCTTCAACTATGAGTTTTTTGTGCATAAAGCTGCAAATTTCTCTTCTGCATTTTTTTCCTGTGTTACTTCAAGAAATTCGGTTTGAAAATGGCAATTGTGATAGCCTTGTCAATCTTTAATTATGCATGTTTGTTTTCTTTGTTTGGATGAAGCTTTCCTTTCAAGAATGGACACAACAAGTGCAAGAGATGTTGAATACAAAGAAATTTGGTGACATTGCATTCAGAGATAAAGATTTCAAGAGTGCTATTGACTATTATTCCAAGGTGTGTTTGTTTATTATCTTATTTCTTAGTTTCTTCTTGAACCATTCCTTTTGTTGAAAAAAAGATGGTTTAGACTTCTAGCCTGTCCTTATAACTCTTTGTTTTACCTTCACATTTAAACTTGGTAGCCTTACACCAAGTAACTGAAGCCTGAAAAATTAATCCTTCATTTTGCTCCATTGCTTATACATTTGACACTGCTGGTATGTACTGATGCTTACTACGATCTTCTATATTTTTTAATTTTCAACTTATCCTCTGGACCACAAGCACTTGTTATGCATGATAACTGTGTTTTTGCTTCTGTATGATTTGGTCAAATTATTGCAGCTTCTTTGCTTACATACAATCTAAATTTTCTGTGAATATTTATGTTTGATTTTCGTATGCTCTGTTTTGCCAAGTTGCACTGTTCATATTTTCTTTACGTGGACTTCTAGTTTAACAAATGTTTGAAGGATTGGATTAATTTCAGAGAGCCATTTCAGCAAAAGGTTAATATAATAATCGTAAACAAGATTAGAAATATAAAGTAGAGAAAAGAAGTAAATATTTGAGAAAATCAAGGAGCCATGAGCTATATATAACATGGTCGCATGATTTTCCTTCACTAATAGCTATTTGATGTGAAAAACAAAAACAGATCTAAATGAACAATATGAATAAATTAATTGAGAGACTATGATAAAGTTACTGGTAGATTATAAAAAATAGACAACTGTAATTCATTGTAATAAACCAGGATCAAAATACTGAACACATATTCCTTTTGAACATAGATTATAATGGGTTCTATAGAAGAAAGTTTCAATATCAAGCTTGATGAGGTATGTGACATTACTACCACCTCAGGCACAAATTGGCCTTTCGTATGTGGAGTTTACTGCCTTTGATGGATCCCAAGGCCAATTCCCTGAGTCTCTCCTGATCTCAACACCACTTGTATCTTGATGGTAGATTATCTCTCCATTGTCCTCGAATGGGGCTGATGCAACCAACTTCTGTCCCAAGAATGATAGACTGAGAAAGAGGAAAAAAATGAAAAGAAAAAACAGATATGAGCTTTCTATTTAGAAATGCATGGGTTGTTCCTTTATTTTTTAATATAAACCTGGTTAATGCAAATCATGGACTAACAACTGGAGATGTTCTGTGACCGACTCTCAAAATAATGGAACTTACAGTGCTAGCTGGACCGAAGTTCAAGCTCAGTTCGACGGGGCATACACTCACCGGCATCTTTATGCTGTACGTATGACCTGGTGGTCTATGTGGTCCACAAATGATACTTCCATCCCTGCTCCTCTGTGGTAGTAAAAACAAGTAATTTCACATTTTCTCCTAACTTCTGGACCTTCTAAAGGTCAGAAAATAGCTGGAAAAGAATTGGCTAATACGAGAATAACAAAGGCATTGCCACCAGAAGCTTGGAGAAGAGGCTGTGATTGATAAAATTGCTTGGCCTTGCCACCTGGGGCTTTATTTGGAATTCCATTTCTTCAAGTGGAAAGTACCCTTGGCTCTGTTAATTGTGAAGATAGCGACGGATACAAAACTAAGGATTTTGATGATACGAGAGCTCGACTTAACCTTGTGCTTATCGTTTTGGCATTACATTCCTACAATGTTTTTATTATATTGTTTACAGATAACTTATAGTGCTCATCAAAATTTGTGTCTGGTTCTCTAGTCTAGGATAACTACTTAGATCACGCCATTACAAATTGTTGTATGATTCTTGCTTGTGCAAATGGAGCGAGAGCTTTAATTCATTTCGTTTTGATCCAGTTGGTGATGATGATGTCAGTTCCTTCAGCCACGGTCTTTGCCAGGCGGAGCCTTTCCTACTTGATGAATGGACAACCGGAGCTGGCCCTACGCGACGCCATGCAAGCTCAGGTGTGCATGCCGGAGTGGCCGACGGCCTTCTACTTGCAAGCCCTTGCCCTCTCAAAGCTCGGGATGGAAAAAGATGCCCAGGATATGCTCAACGATGGAGCTGCCTTGGAGGTTAAGAAGCAGAGCAGCTGGCGTGGCTAGTGACTCGTACGCAGTCGCTATGGATTTCACGTCTGCAACTCCGATATCTGTCATTCCTGTACGCAAGTTTCGTCTTGGGTTCTAAATGCAGCAGGAATGTTGTGACAGCACATGCTGAGAAGGTAACCAGACACAATAATGTATAGAAATTTCACGAGATTAATTAGCATCTTTACACTTGAGGGTTTCGTAATTGCACAATATTTCATTTATATGAGTAAGCCTAATTGCACCCACAATCTGTGTTATTAATTTTGAGTTGGATAATAATTAATATGACTGTTCTTGGAAACTTACAACAACGAGATCATCAAGCCGTCCTGTTTCCTAGAAGAATTTTGCCCGAGACATGACATGATTAGGTAGTCAGTTAATTCACGAATGAATTTTTGAAAGATTTCTTACAGCATTTAAAATATTTTTTATTCCATTGAATTGTATACAAGACACTTGACTGACTGCAGAATCGTGAGGGACCCACAACTTACTGATCGTCAACGGAGGAGTAACGGCCGCTCCCTCGATGGCAGGAAAAAGGATGTCGACCTACTCTGAAGCACGCGGCCCACGTGCCGTTAACGGGAGAGTATCGACTTGATGGGAAAGAAGGAAGCCGACGCCCAAAACGGAAAAGACATTGACCTACCTACCTCACCTACTCGGAGGCACGCGGCCCACGTTTTCTTACCAACAGATTCACCGGTCGGTAAGAGACAGCACAGCACGCCAAGTATTTCTAACAAAGCATATATAAAAAAAAAAGCGGAAGTTTGTGCTAATTTCGTAAAAAGATCTTTAAATTTTAGGATTTCTTAAGGCGTCTCAAGTTTAAAAAATTTTCATAAAACAACTTTAATTGCATGCAAAAGATAATTTTATCCTCATCATTGTGAAAAATTCATACTCCAACCTTTTAGTCTCCTCTCCGCCTTTTGTTATTTTGAAAAAAAAAAAGTGACAATTTTTGAAGCTTGGAATCATATTTGGATAATTCTGAAAATTAGGGTTTTTTCCTAAAATTCACCGTAAGTTTAGAGTAATGCTTTATATAAGGACGTATCCTCCAAGAAACTGCATCGTTTGTCCCTTTCATCCTCTCCCAACCTTCTCCTCCTATGCGCGTTCGCGATAGTCCGGAGGCAAAGAGAAACCCACCTCGAATCCGCTTAAGTCTCTCGAGAGGTACGGCGAATCCCTCTCTCTCTCTCTCTCTCTCTCTCTGGCGAATCCCTCTCTCTCTCTCTCTCTCTCTCTGGACCGAAATCTGCGACTTGGCGGAAGATCGGAGCCTCCGTTTCAAGTGGATTGGTGTAGGCTTCGACTTACTGCCACTAGTAGATTCACTATAGTTGGCGCCATGGCCTGTTTCTCTCTTTATTGTTGCTAACATCGCTTCGTTTGAACACAATCGATTATTTGATGTGTCTGTATATGTTTGAAAATTTCGGTGGAACTCTAGATTTGGATGATTTTGTGCTGAAGGAGACTGGATGTTGACAAGGATGTAGGAGGCAGTGGGTGTTGCTGTGGAATTGCTGATAGATTTAGGATCTTAGCTCTGTTAATTAGATATTGTTTGCCGAGCAGTGAATTGTTTATGGACTAGTATTATCCTGGTGGTGAAGGCACTATGTGCACTACGGAAATAAATACATACGGAGTGAATTTATGGACATGAAAGAAAGCAACGATTAGTGCAACGGAAACGATGACATTGGGACTAGTGTTTAGCATGCTGATTTGGAAATCTGAAGCTAGAATTGCATCACATGGTTTTTCAATTAATAATGCTTGGCCTTCATTTCTAATCTTAGAAAGAGGTTTACAAATTCCTGGATTTGTTATATGGCCTTTGTGAACTTCTTGAACTTTTAGTTGGATGACCAAAAATTTGTGCCGCATAGCTAATTTTATCTCAACTAGTAAGGAAAAATTCTTGAATCCTTTCTCTGAATGTGTTGAGATATTCCTTGTGAAGTCTTTATGTAAAAATGCTTGGAGATTTTTTAGGAACACATCTTTTACGGATGGCTCTCATTGAATTTTTGTCACTCCCTGTCTCTTAACCAAGCAGAATAATTTGCAGTAGCTTAATTAACTCTCCTTTGCTTTTTCTCTAGTTAAGAGCTAAAAAAGTTCTTAAATTGTATGATTTGCTTCCATGGAAAAGCTTGACATTAGCCAAAAAAAGCTTATCAAGGTTAACGTTTGAAGACTCTATAAAAAGATTACTTTTTATGCCTAAATGAATGAACAATAATAGTTTCTATCGTTTCGAAAGAGTGAAGGATGCATGACCACTTATTGCCACTTACACAAGTTGGAGCTGTAAAAGTTATTGTATCCTCTTGGAATTAAATAACTAGACTAGAATCATTCATTGCTTACCTGCTATATTCTCTCCCTTTGTTTCTGTCTTTGCTCTTTATAAAGATCTCAATGCTCTTATCTTAACCAAAGCATTGTTTTGTACATAGCTCAATGAAGGTAAAAGTTTCAAGTAGCTGGCCCCAAATAGTTGGGATATCATGGCTTGCTGTTGTTATTTGTTGGCATAATATCTTTTCTTGCAGTGTCGACCCCAAATCTTGATTACTGAAGTTTCCTGCTGTTGGTTGTTGCATTCATCATAAGTTGTTATACGTGACACAAAATTAAGAAGATACCACTGTAAAGACTAGTTTAGAATCCATTTCAACTTCAGAACAAACGCAGAAGGTCCTATCTATGCTCTTTTGCTGGTCATATGGGGACATATGTCCTCTATAGAACTCTTTGCATATTTTGGGATCATGCTGATGCATTGCTCGAACTTGAGTATTTAAATCTTTGGCAGGAATAGTGTTCATAATCACTTTGGTATTCTCGGAGTAATCTTGTAGACATCCTTTAATGATTCGTGTTTTATGGTGATGGTACTTTCTGCATGTATAAGTTGATATATGTTACTACGCAGTTCTCTCATATCATGAGGCTTTGGCATGTTCCCAGTGGTAGTTTGTTTTTTTCCTTTTTGGAAAGGAAAGAAAATTCACTCTGGTTTTAGCATTTCTATGGACATAACAAAACTAGGTAACATTGACCACCCCTCTGGCCAGTAGCAAGATGTCCTTGTGCAAGGACTTAAGGTGACAAGGTATGGGACACATTGATCTACACCCTTATCGGGCTAGAATATGTTCCTTGTGTTAATTTAGCACCGCACCCTTACAACTTCAGCTTCTTAAAGTTTCAGAATCATTAGTAGACATGAAAGGTTCGTTCTCTGCAGGCTGAAGATACTTGTTGCACATGGATGCTATATTATCCGAGAAAGAGGTTTCTCCAGAGCTCATACGGGAGTCACTGATGGCAATCTCTCAATGTGTTCCAGATGTGATCACTACAGAAGGGTCGTCTGTTAACACAGCTAACACTCCTGTTGCTGATCAAGATGGCGGTGGTACGGCAGAAGAGTATCGATCCAAGCTCATCTCAATCTCCAACTTACAATCACCAAATGCCCAACCATCGCCGACCTCAGTGGACAATCTTGGTGCATAGAGAGGTTGGATTCCTGCTTGCAGCTTTCGACGATTTAATATGTGGAATAGTTTAATTGCTGAACGATGTTGCCGCTGCTAACTAAATCGGCAAAATACTCTTTAACTGTGCAGTTATCATTTGATAAGGATCTAAAAACAACTTGTGTAACTCAAAACTTGGCTTCTTGTTTGGTTTCTCTCTACTGCATCGCTCTCCTTAAACAAGTCAAGAATATTTTATCGAACTTCATATAAAAGCATGACATGTTTGCCACTGATTTATGGTTTGCACTTCAACAATCTCCTAAAGGAATATGCAGTTTTCATCTTTGGTTGTCTTTACATTTTCGTCGATAAGAATGTACTATAATAGTTCCTGAATTGTTGTAATTATCATGAGGAATAAAATCATGCTTGGAGGAAGATCTATTCATGTTTGTGTCCGTGCTTAATCGACTAGACTTGTCCAAATTACATGAAATGTTTAGTTAGAGAGTAATCGACGGCTGCTGCTGCCGGAATAAATTAGTTCATTTTGAGTTTTCACAACCAAATCGGAAGCATACATTTTGTACAGGTGAAGAGGATTCATAGTGGATCACTTTGGAGTCAAAACAAAACCATCAGATAAGCTAGTTTTGTACGGGCAGCAGTCCCATTTGGAGGACTCTAAACGCTCGGTTGGGGGGGTTGGGGATCGATCGATGGACGACGAGTCTGCTTACACCCATTGCAGTCTCCCTTGGTATTCTAAGCTCTGATGTACGTTGCCGTCGGCCACGATGACCTGTTTTCTCATGGCCATGGCGGTCGGTCGGGTGTTGTACTTCACCTGGAACTTAGGTGGTGCGATCTGGTTGTGGGTGGGGGGCATCTGCGCTATGACTTCGCTCAAGAACTCATCAGCTACATCTCCATCTTCGTCCATGCGTAGTCTCCGACTGTACCACCTAAAACCCTGATTGATATAGAAAACGAGGAAACAAATAAAAGCATAGAATAACCCAACTAGTAAAATGAATCGGAAATACAATGCCAGAAGAGGAGGAGGAGGAGTCCCTAAAAGATGGAAGGAAAAGAAATGGAACATTAGCACTAATTTATAGAAACATTAGTTTATCCAACATTAGTACTAACCAGCAAGAGGATTCATGGAATCGAATCAAAATAACAAGCCGAAATCAAAGAAAAAAAGATCTTTTAAAGTTTACTCTTTTCCCCTTTCAGAGATCGACGCTGTAATTTCTAATTAACATTCATCATTTTTGCTGTTCCGGAACGAAAAAGCCAGCCCAGATCGACTTTTCTGATCCGTCAATCTATTCCGATATTTGATGAACTACTCAATTGGCCAGTTCTGATGCACAAATAGAGCGAGCGATCTTACCTAAGAGGCTTAAATCGACACTGTTATCGGTGCATTATAGTTCATAATCCAAGAAAAAAAAAACCCTAGAAGAAGAGACGATATGCGTCAAACTCAGAATACGAAGAAAGGAGGAGAAGCGAGAAGAGAGGCAAATAAAGGTCCCAAGTTTTAGTCGAGCCGCGAACGAGATTTGAAGAGAGCACCTGAACACCGCCTTCACCGGGATCGCAAGGGACGAGGACGGGCCCAACGCTAGGCCGCTCGACGG